TAGACATAGAAGGTGTATTGAAGGTCTTCAACCTATAGAAGATCGTTTAATGTCTTTTCATTCATTGAATATTATTTGAAGGTCTTCCATCCATAGAAAACCCTTAAAGGGACATTCTATGGGACTTCTGGTTATAGAAGACCTTGTATGACTCATCTATCGTTAGAAGGTCTCTTAAGGTCTTCTAGACATAAAAGACATTTACAAGGTCATCTCAAAAGTTATCTGAAAGATGTTTTGATGCTCTTGCATTAATAGATTTCCTTTTGAGGGTCTTTTAAACTGGTGAAACCTTTACATACCATTTGAGGGTCTTTCAAACGAGGAATACCTTTAAACACACTTTGAGGGTCTTTTAAACAGGGGAGACCTTTACATACCCTTTGAGGGTCTTCTAGTTAGGGGATACCTTCTAACGTCATCGTAGACTTTTTAGAATCTCTTTTAGAAAATCTTTAAAAGGTAGAGAAACTCTTTTGAAGGTCATGCAGGTGTTTTAAACACCTTTAAAAGTTATTTTCTCCTTAGAACCGAATTGAGTGCCACAGAAGATTTTTTATTGCCTTCTAGTCATAGAAGATATTTTGAAGATCTTCCAGTCTCAGAAGACCTCCGTTCATTCTTTATAACCGCGCCCAACTGTATTCTCCAAATAAACAAAATTGAAGCATTTGAACTTGAGCCATTATTTGCGGCATGCGTTAGCCTATTAGCATGGCTACTCAAAGCTGGCTGAGACATTGTTTTTTTTTTGCCGCAGCGATTATAGGCACAGCTATCATAACATGATACGACTGCGGCCATCGTCTCATTTCCTTGCCATTTGTTTATGTAAATTTCATTATTAATTCTTGTCGTTGTCGTTGTTGTTATTGTTATTATTATTTCTATGTTTGAATTATTAAACAAAACAAAAAACAACAACAATAAACATGAGGCAAATTAAAACGCTTGAATTTAAATGAGCCGGCTCGGCCCCACACTTATTTGGTTTTGTGACAATTTCGCAAACAAATCTGGATATCTGAATTTGCCGTCCTCATTTTGGCACTATTCGGTTTCGAATCGTCCGAGAAGAAGAGGAAGCAGAAGACAAAACGTGTTTGGAGAAAAACAAATATTTGTTTTCTAAATTATCTGCTTTGAGAATGATACAGACACACACAGCGTGACAGATGGGCCGACCGGTGAATGGCTAGATGAATGCCTAGTTGGAAGCGTAGTAAAAAACTAATCCCAAGACTTAACCATGAAAGCTGGTGGGCGGTATTCTCTAATTGGTTTAACTTTCTATCGGATGAAATGGAGGAGGAGGTGGAGGAGGACGAGGAAACAATGTGACAAGGTTGCAAAACGGAATTGTTGCATGATGTGTAATCCCCGCAACAAATCAGAAACAGGAACTGAGTAGTAGGAATATTATAAAGGAAGATCTGTAGCAATAAGTGAGGAAATAGTATGCGGGTTATTATATTTATATGACAAGCCTAACAGAATTGTTGAAATAATTAAGACGGAAATAATTTCTAATTGAGGTATTCCATGCCAACACATGAGCGAGGTATGATGTTGGTTGATGAGACTTTCCACAAATCGGAGGGATTTTTAACATCAATTTAGAATGGATGAACAAAAATAAATATCAGAAGTTACTCCAAAACAGCTAATAATTGCTTCTATATTGGTGCTGGAAGGTCCTGCAACAGGTCTATTAGAAATAGAACATATTTTAAGGGGTTTCTGAAGATAGATAAACTTTCTAAAGTCTAAAGGCTTTTTTAGAGGCTTTTTTTTCTCTCCTCTGTAAAGAGAAGATCTTGTTATTGAAGATAATATTTTCACAGAGGACCCTTGAAGATTTTTGGCAATAGAAGACTTTATAAAGGTCTTCAATCCATTAAATACCCTTTTTAAGGTCTTTTGGTCATAGAAGGCCCTTTGAAGGTATTTTATCCAAGATCTTTAAATGGCCTTCCATTCATTGAGAATCCCTTGAAGGCCTTCCAATCATAGAAGACCCTTTTGTTATTCAGAAGCCATCTGAAGATAGAATGCCTTTGCTTAGGTAGAAGATTTCTAAAAAGAATATCTTTCCGAAAGTCTTTCCTATGTAATATATACAGGGTGAGATGAAAAAACTGCAACCAACTTCAAACTGCTGTCATTTCCAAGCCACTCGTTCGACAGCTGTTAAAATTATTTCAGTGAGAGCTCATTATATTGTTTACTAGCGTACAAAAGCAATTTGCTGAGAATTTTCCAGAAAAGAAGTTATTCGTGATGGAATTCAAGCGTGATAGTGTGATTTCTATTATATTTGGCTGGAAAACCACAAGTGGCTATCGTTAGAGCACTCCAGCATTTAAAAGTGAATAAAACTTTTGTGTCTCGTAACATCGCTCGTTATCGTGATACCGTGGTAGCGTAGCCCGATGTCAAGGACGTGGACAGAAGAAAACATCAGCAGAAATGGTTAGAAAAGTAAAGAAGCGACTTGATCGAAATCCGCGTCGCAGTGGCCGAAAAATGGCTCGTGAGCTGAACATATCGCAATATTCCATTCGGCAAATATTGAAAAATGAGCTCGGGGTAATACCATCGAAATTCCAAAAAGTGCAAGAACTTACACCGCAACAAGAAGAAAATAGAGTCAAAAGGGCTAGAGAGTTGCTTCGCTTGGTCGAAAGTGGTAAAGTGCCGAATTTGGTTTTCTCCGATGAGAAAACATTCCTTGTCCAGTTGATTGTAAACAAACAAAATGGTCGTGTTTGCATGCCAAAGAGGTCATCTGAAAATGTGCCCCGGTTGTACGATTGGCCACCAGAACTCAAGCGCCGGCCATGGTAATGGTGTGGACCGCCATAATAGCCGATGGTCGCTCTCCGCTCGTATTAATCAGAAGAAATGCCGAATATTATCGCGAAAATATTCTGGAGGGTGTATTAAAGCAGACGCAGACCTTTGACATTCCAATAGTAGCACCATCGCACTCAGCGCGCGCCACCCAAGAATAGTTACAAAATTAGGTTCCTCGCTTCATTTCCAGCGCACAAGGGCCACCAAAATCTCCGGATACCAATCAGTTGGACTATTGTGTCTGGAGTGTCTTTTGGAAAGCAAGGTTGGCACTAAAAAATACAAAAGTGTCGATCAACGCAAGCAAGCGCTTCGCTGGGAATGGACCAAAATACCGCAGAGCAACATTTGGGCAGCGTGTGACGGTTTCATTGGCCGTTTTAAGGCCATAATTTGTGCCAAAGGTGATCAATTTGAACAAACCTAAACTTATTCTAACATTTGAAGCTATTTCCGACATTTTCAACTTTCATTCAATAAAATTAAAAAAACGTAAAAATTATGGCGTTTGACTTTGTTGCAGTTTTCTTATCTCACCCTGTAGACATAAGAATTCGTATCTTCCACTGAAAATTGGGCCTTTCAAGAATCTTATTGAAAATTAGAAGCCCTACAAAAGGGCTTTTTAAGACATATTTATTTCATAACCCATTTTTAAATGAAAAAAATTTCAGAAGGGGCGGGACAAACAGGTCAATACACCACTAAGTTTGATAAAAAATTAAAAAGCAGTAAGTTCGACCGGGCCCAACTTGGAATACCCTCCACCATTTGGAACGAATATGGAAATTTTCAAAAAATAAAATCCGTTAAAAATTCTGTTAAAATCTTAAAAATACCGAAAATAGTCGTTATATTGGGGTCTATACGACGTGGACCTACTTAGACATTGTTTGTCATAAGGCATTACAATATTCAAATTCGTAACATGGAATAACCGTTGAATAATATAGCTGAAATAATCAAAATAGGGAGGTACCGTTATATCGGAGCTGTGCGAAGACCTGGACCTGCATAGACAATTTTCTGTCACAGGCGGTAGCATCCATTACGAACTTCAAATACGACATCCCAAACAATTTCAGTGAGTATTGTACTTGAAATCGTTAAAATACCGAATATAGGGAGGTACTGATATATGGGGCCTATACGAAGACCTGGACCTGCATAAAAAATTTTGTGTCACAGACTGTAGTTCACATTACGAACTCTAAATACGTAATTTGAAACTACTCCGGTGATTAATGACGCTAAAATCATCAAAATACCGAACATCGGGAGGTACCGTTATATGGGGGCTATACGAAGACGTGGACCTGCACAGACAAAATTCTGTCATAAGCTGTAGTATCAATTACGAACTTCAAATGCCAAATTTGAAACAATTCCGGTGAATAATGACGCTAAAATCATCAAAATACTGAATATCGGGAGGTATTGTTATATGGGGGCTATATGAAAACGTGGACCTGCACAGACAATTTTCTGTCCTAGGCTGTAGTATCTATTACGAACTTCAAATACCAAGTTTGAAACTTTTCCGCTTAATAATGTCGTTAAAATCATCAAAATAACGAATATCGGGAGGTACCGTTGTATGGGGGCTATATGAAAACGTGGACCTACATGGCCCATTTTCAATACAAAAAGTCCTGCAGACATGACATACATTTGAGTAAAATTTTATCAATCTACTTCAATTCGTTTGGAAGCTAGAGTGATTTCCGCAGATGGGTAGACGGACGGACATGGCTAAATCGACATAGAATTTTATGCTGATCAAGAATTTATATACTTTGTTTTGTCTGACATGAGTATTTCGAGGAGTTACAAATGGAATGACAAAGTTAATATACCCTGGTGGAGGGTATAAAAAGTTTCAAAAGGTGTAGGACGAACAGGTCAATACACCACTAATGTACAACTAAGTTTGCGAAAAAAAAAGTACTGTAAACAAAGTTACCCCATAACCAGATTGGTGGGCATGTCTAGATCGACCCCTAAAAGAGATATGGGGCATTTTTTTTCTTTCGAAATTTTATAAAATTATATATTTTCCACTGCAATTATAATAGGTCTGTTCCTACCTCATGTTCGCATGTATTTTATATTATCCTTAAATTTTTTTTCCAAAAAAAACTCACCTCTTCTAAAAAATCCCAGTCTTGTTGAGTAGCGAATATTTTCAAATCCAATATTTATTTGTTTCGTTGACATATTCTCTTCGTAGGAGAACAACGAAGAGGCTGTGGTCAGAGGAGTATGGAGTGTTGTTGTTGATGCCTTGCTTAGATTTGCTGATGCATTGTTAGGTTGGGTTGGAGTCTTCGATTTGTCCATTGAGTTCTCCTCATTTGTTCCGCGTGAAAAAGCCGTTGTAATGTTCAAATGTAAACCTTCTGGTTTACGATTGAAAAAACGCCTAGCCAAAGGGGTGGGGGTTGTGGGTCGAACCGAGGCAGCGGAGGGGCCTGAAGTTGAATATGTAGCCGAAGGAGTTGTTGTTGTGGAATTGTTGGATGTTGGTTGTTGCATATTGAGTATGTTCAATGTAATGACATCACTACTGCTCTCCAGCTCGTCGCCGCCGTCGTCATCATCATCATCATCAACGACTGGTTTATTCGACTCCATCAACAGCAAGTGGTGGGCCAACAAAGACGGACTGGGGTCTTTGCTTTCAGCCATTGTGAACAAATGTTAAATTGTTTTTTTTTTTTTTTTAATTTTCTTTTGTGAGTTAAGGATTTAATGCTTATTTTTTTTATTGCACAAAAAAGCAAATTGGTTTTATTTAATTTTTTTTTTAAATTAATTGCTTCAAATCAAAAGCCACTAAACCATTATGATCTGGCCTGCACTCGCTCTTTATTGCTTTGTTGAATTCTTGACACTTTGTTTAATGTTGCTATTTTGTTTTTGTTGTTGTTTTTTTTATATTTTCACTTAATTATATTTAATTGAGGAGTCACTTGGAATTGCTTGAAAGGATTCTTAGGCATTTCACAGTGCCTATGTGTGGGAGGTAGGGGAGGCGCTGAAATTAACTGTTGTCTGAATCACTAACAAAAACAAAAAGTAACACAGCAACAATTATGACAACAATTCCTTTGTTACCACCACCAACAACGCTGTGGTTGGTTGGACGCAGCCGTCAACGACAAGTTCAACCGCCAGTCCCACATTTATCGATTGAGGAACGTGAGTGTGTCTGACTTATTTTTCAAGCGTTTTCGTTTTTTATTCGTTCATTCACCACCGCTGATATGGAACAACTGATCGTTGTTGTCTTTGAATATCTGCTGGCTGGCGGGCTGGCTAGCTGAGCTGTTCGGTTGGCTGGTTGGTTCACTCAACTGAGTTGCCTGATTATTGGGTTGATAGGCAGAGGTAGGTAGGTAGCCGCTGATTGCTGTCAGCAGGGATGAATGAATTGAATTTTCCAATCTAAAATGAGAATAAAGATAATACGTTTGTTATTGTTTTGCTTTTGTTGTTGTAATACTATTTACAATGTTGTTGTTGGAAAAAATAAAAGAGAAACACAATTTTTCATTCTCATTGTTAGGCCCCCACCAGGTTTGATGTAAAACCTAAAATTCCCAATAACAACAATAAATCAGGATCAAGTAGATAATTTTCAAAGCTGAGAGAGAACTGTAATGACAAGAGGTGACATTGTGCAAAGAAACCTCCACTGTGCAAAGAACCTCCACGTTTAAAGAACTTTCAGAAGAAAGATAATGAAACGTTTTGAAAGGATATTCAAACATTACAAATGAAATTAAAAGTCTTCTATAGAGAGAATATTATTAAAGGACTTCTAGAGAGAATACTTTGGAAATGTCTTCCCCGGATAAAAGCCATTTAAAAAGGTTCCTAATATACAAAAGACCCCTAAAAGGTATTTTTTAAAGATTTTCGAATTGTTTCCAACAAACTACTACTAACGGCTTCTATAGGCTCCAAACTTTAACCAGGTCTTTTATATTAAACCACAAAGAAATCTGTGTTCTGTAGATGCCAGAATGACCCTTATGAATAGAAGAGCTAACAACCTTCTCTTTAAAAGATTTAAAAGACCTACGGAAAGTCTTCCTTGAGTGGTCATCCTGTTGGATTGGATTGGAGTGGAAACCTGTTGGATTGCAAAAAAATCGAACAGCTAATAGACAAAACATGTTTGAGAGGTCTTTTGTAGACAGACTTTACATAACATAAGCTATATAGATATTCTAAAATTCCACATGAAAGATAAAGCATCAGAATCGTAGGTACCTCCAACAAATTTAGATTTTGTATGTACATTTCTATTGATCGGTTACAGTCATAAAATTAGCAATAAAAAATATATTTTTGGCCGATTTTATGTATTTGATGCACCAAACACGCTATGTACGTCAAATTTCAATGAAGTTTAGAATTTGTGACAAAATTCGGACTAAAAATAAAATTTTCAAATTTTATTGAAAATCGGTTTAGACTTTGGATATGATTTCACATATATTTTTAACCGATGTCATGCATTTGATGCACCAAACACGATATGTGGGTGAGATAAAAAAAACTGGAACAAAGTCAAACGCCATAATTTTTAAATTTTTTTTTTAATTTTATTGAATGAAAGCAAAAAATGTCGGAAATAGTATCAAATTTTAGATAAAGTTTCGATTTGTTCGAATTGGTCACCTTTAGCACGAATAATGGCCTTCAAACTGCCAATGAAACCGTCACACTCTGCCCGAATGTTTCCCTGCGGTATTTTGGCCCATTCCCGGCGAAGCGCTTGCTTGAGGTGATCGACACTTTGGTATTTTTTTAGTGCCAACCTTGCTTTCCAAAATACTCCAGACACAATAGTCCAACGGATTGGTATCTGGAGATTTTGGTGGCCAATGCGCTGGAAATTAAGCGAGGAACCTCATTTTGTAACCATTCATGGGTGGCGCGTGCTGAGTGCGGCCAAAATGTTTGAGTGCCCAAGGCTTTAATACACCCTCCAGAATATTTTCGCGATAATATTCAGCATCGGTATTTATTATGATGCCACGGTCGATTAATACGAGCAGAGAGCGACCATCGCCTGTTATGGCGGCCCACATCATCACCATGGCCGGCGCTTGAGTTCTGGTGGCCCCCGACCGAAGGTGCACATTTTCAGCTGACTTCCTTGGCAAGTGTTTTGTTTGTTTACAAACTGCTGGACAACGAATGTTTTCTCATCGTAGAAACCCAAAATCGGCAGTTCATATTTGCCGACTGGAATATTGCGATATGTTCAACTCACGAGCCATTTTTCGGCCACTGTGACGTGGGTTTCGATCAAGTCGCTTCTTTACTTTTCTAACCATTTCTGCTGATGTTGCTGTATTCTTCCGTCCACTTCCTTGACGTCGGGCTACGCTACCAGTATCACGGTAACGAGCGATGGTAAGAGACACAAAAAATTTATTCAAATTTAAATGCTGGAGTGATCCAACGATAGCCACTTGTGGTTTTCCAACCAAATATGAAGAAATCACACTATCACGCTTGAATTCCATCACAAATAACTTTCTGTTTTTTGGAAAATCCTCTCCACAGTGCTTTTGTACGTTTGTAAACAATATAATGAGCTGTCACTGGAATAATTTTAACAGTTGTCGGACGAGTGGCCTAAGAATAACAGCAGTATGATGTTGGTTGCAGCTTTTCCATCTTACTCTGTATATAATGATTTTGGTTAAAAGTAAACTCCGTTAGCAGAAGCCGGCTTCCAGGTTAACCATTTCATTTATCGATTATCATATACAAATAATAAATAAATTTTGTTTTTACAAAAACAAGAATACTAGGCTTAAGACAATTTTACTACAAGAAAATAATTACGATATTACAAAACCAATACTCCAATGTCTATTTATAGAAACTATGTTCCATATATTATTATAATAATATTATAATATTTGTATGAAATAAAATGAAGATTATCCACACCGACTTGTAGCCCTTTACCATGACTGATTCTTTTCTATGATCCACATATGTTATACTATATTTAGGTCCATCTCTTGCAATTTTACCGTGGTTTCTTTTAAACCTCTTCTCATTCTAAGTCTCCTCGAAAATACTACGACTAAGTTTTGTTTATGTTTGGATATTACTTTTGCATTCTCTCGGCTCTTTGCCCATCATAACAAAGTCCACAAAGTCAAAGTGTGGAGCACACCACCATATGATAACAACAGAGAACTGCAATGAGAGAGAGAGTGTGTGTGATTCTCTCTCTTCCCCAATGCTCCATTATCTGGCATTGGAAAAACTGCATGTACTCATTTCATTGTTTTTTGTTTCATAATATCACGCAGAGAGTGGAACTCTCTGGCTTATCGCTGCGTTCGTCTTTATTTTTTTTCTGAATCATATGTTTTCTTCATCTTTATACTCCTTATCTGTTGAACCAAGACGACGACGTCAACAACAACGAAATAGACTACTTTTTTTTTATTCATCCAGCTGGTTTGAGTGGCATGCATTATGGTTATGGTTAGAGCGGGTAAGGTGTTCGGGTTGTATCTTGTAATAATGAACATAAACGCAAATGAGTCTTCGTTCCTTAGTTTTGGACCTGCATTCGTTGTTCTCCTATGTGTCTGTGTATTTATCGTACGTACAAAGACTGTCTGCATCGCGTAGATAGATATGCGTTTCTCTGTCAGACTGCCTCAACAAAATGCAGTGGCACCTATTTTTGGTGTTTTTTGTTTAAAGGTGTGTAGGTAGAGGTAGCTAGTCACAACAGCTACGCATAGGTCTGTGGGGTCATTGCCATTGAGACAGATTGGTATGTAGTATTTATTTTAAATACATGATTATTTTTGTTCTGAAATTATTTTCAGGAAAATAGAAGAAAAAGAAGTAAAAAACAAACATTCCAAGGAATCAAATCGATCACTGAAAACAAACTTCTTGGATCATTACGAGAACTTTTAGTGTAAAATCCTTTGCTAATTTGAAATTGGCCAGACCCGTAAAAGCGAATAATAATATTGGATCCTCAGTCATTAAAGTCTAAGGGGAATGAACGACAATATACAAAACGTATCATTTTGAAGAAATACATATTCGTAAGTTTATTAGGCACTAACATACGAAGATATGCAGGTCTTTTAATTTCCTTTACAATATTTTTTTTAATATTGACAAAGATGGATTATAAGGCTTCCTTTGGATTTAATTGGAGAATAGAATAATATTTGGTCTAAAATTTCGTTTCATATGTCCCCAACGAACTTTTATTGATTTAACTCGGATCTTGGGCCAAGATCTCTAATAAAGCATCATTTTAGAACGATGACGTCAAAGGCAAATATATTCTTCATCAAATTTTACTATAAGCCACCAAAGAAAAGAAATCTCTATTTCTGCTGAATGTCCGAAAAAATTGCATAAAAAATCCGAAAATTTTTTCTTAATATTTAATAATGGGTTTAGACCCTAGGTCTCTTTGGACCAAATCCGCCCGTCTTTCTGGCTGGTGCCCACGACAACTCTCGAAGGAAGTATCAGATTTGATTCAAACTTGGTATATCGTAATATTATTGTCAAATTTAGATCGAGTTCGGAGATGGGCAATATAGGTCCACTCCTTCTAGTACCTTCCACACAAAATGTTAGCATTTTTAAAGAAAATAATTTATTTTGTTGTTGCAAATGGTCATCGTTCTCCACTAATAAACAAACGTTGTTTTTATAAAAACAACAATAAAGGGATAAGCCTGACCATTTTGCAACAACAAAATACTACGGTATCCCGAACAAACAAGCCACACTGTTCTGAAAATAATTTATTGCACAGAATATGAAAGAATAATCTGATTTTGCTCCAACTTTGCGAATCCTAATATTTGAATCAGTGCTAGGTTAGGTGGGAAAATGGACAATATCTGTCCACTCCGTCCAGTACATTTTGAATAATTATAACTCATATAAAATGTGATATACGTTTCCGATTGTCTTCAAATTGCACATATCACAATATTTTTATAAACCCATGGTGTGGTATGAAGATGGAATATATCGGTCCACTATTTCTGGTACCTCCCCCACAAAAGATCGAAAATTTCAAAAAATATATTTTCTGCACAGAAAGAGAAACGATAATTCGATTTTGCTCCAATTTTGCGAATCCTTATATTTGCATCAGAGCTAGATCAGGTGCGAAAATGGACAATATCGGTCCACTCCATCAAGTACCTACCCCACAAAGGGTCACAATTTTGAAAAATTATAACTCATATAAAATGTGATATAAGTTTCCGATTGTCTTCAAATTTCATACATCACAATATTTTTATTAAACAACGGTCTGGTGTGAAGATGGAATATATCAGTCCACTCCTTCAGGTACCTCCCCCACAAAGGGTCAAAATGTTGTATATCCATGAAGCTTATAAAACATGAAATTA